ATTACTCGCTAAATTAGAAACCCTAAGAACACAGATCTCCGTTCAACAACTGAAATATTGTACAAATAGACAAGATTGTCTCTTTATCGAAACGATTCCTAGCAATTTGACCAAAGATTCACACCGGAAAACAAACCAAAAGGAAGAAAAAGAGAGGTTTTTTTTTTGTTTCCCCGACAAAACCTTTATCGGAAATGGAAATTTGTGGATATACACATCTGGTAACGGATAAATACAAAGAATTTAGGCCAAAAATTTGGGATTTTTACCAGTCGAAATGGAAGCTAGAGAGTGAGAAGAACCCTAGAAACCAGAGAGCGGGAAATGCGAAACGACAGAGAGAGTTTATGCAAAACCGAAGAAGAAGAAGATGATATTTTATTTTTATTATTTTTTTTGGTAATTCAAAAATATAATGTTTATTTAGTCTCTCTCCGTACCAATCTTCTTCATTGAACACTAGCCAAGAGGCCCAAGCCCATCTTTACGAAGCCCAAATTAAATATTTCCTCCTATCCTCTGGTTCTTGAGTTTGGTACGAATAGTGGACCCAAGTCAACTTGAAATATCTTCTTGCCGTAAATGACACGTTCATAACAAGCCTTCATTGGTTTTAGTCTTTTCTTGCCATTATTGTGACCACTTATTACAAATCTCTATCCTAATGCAGTTTCTAAACTATAGAGAAGAGAAAAATGACAACAATATACGAGAGAAATTGGTGGTGGGTAAAACCGGAGAAGAAGATAGCTTTTGTGTTCATAATAGTGACAATGATACTTCAATTCCAGATGACAAGATGTGTGGAAACCGAAAGAATGGGGTTTATTGCAACTTAAGTTGTATCTTGAATCTCTTTCTAGTCCCGAAGAACAGAGTATTCTGAAATCACTGAATCAAATCATGCCCCTCACTTATATGGACCAAGATCGGTCTCTAAATCTGTCTTTCCTCCATAGCTTCACTCAACTCCAAAGCCTTGACATTTCATTGAATTGGTTTGATCACATCCATGGTAAGTTCTTAACC